TTTTAAAACCATCTAGCTGACCTTTCCTAAACAAGTGCAAATACCATTCTGCCAACAGTCCTTGTGGGTGTTCCCTGCCCTGGAATATTCCTCCCCTGGGTTTTTGCATTCAACTCTTTCCCACCTTTGTATCTCACCTGTAGTGTCCAGTCTGCAGAGAGGCTTTTCCTGATTGCCTTCCTGCACACATTCTTCTCAGTAAAGTTCAGTGGGCCAGGCACAGTGCTAGACACCTATAATCCCAGCCATTCAGAAACTGAGACAGGAGGATCACAAATTTTATGCCAGCCTCAGCAATTTAGTAAGGCCCTAAGCAACTTAGCAATACCATCTCAAAAGGTCTGTGGATGTAGTTCAGTAGTAAAGTACCAAGTGCCAAAAAAAAAAAAAAAACACCCACATAGCCCATAGGTTTATATTCTGTGATCCACTCTTATAGGGGGACACTTTCTCTCTCTTTTTTTAAAATATTCATTTTTCAGTTTTAGGTGGATACAATTTTTTTATATATTTATTTTTTAGTTGTAGTTGGACACTATACCTTTATTTATTTATTTTTATGTGGTGCTGAGGATTGAACCCAGGGCCCCGCACTTGCTAGGCAGAGTGCTCCACCACTGAGCCACAACCCCAGCCCAATACAATATCTTTATTTTATTTTTATGTGGTTCTGAGAATCAGACCCAGTGCCTCTCACATGCTAGGCAAGCRCTCTACCATTTGARCCACAAGYCCAGCCCCAACACTTTCATTATATATATTTCCTTTCTTCCCCTGTGGAATGTAAGTAAAGATTTTGTTTGCCTTATTCACAGCTGTGACTCCTAGCACTTGCCCAGCACATAATGGGTACTTAATAAAACACATGAAAGAAGAATAGAGTGGAAATGGAAAGAAAGAAAACTCTTTTAGGAATCTTCTGTTTTAAAGTACTATACTGAGGCAGAAAAAACACATGAATGAAAATAGAAAAGAATGAAGAGAAATTTTCATGGAAACAAACCATCACAACCTTTTCCTGGTGTCCTGGTTATGAAATGAATACGAGGTCTAGTGACCTCACATTTTAAAACTTGACGCCTACCTTATTTCTCACCTTTTTTCCTTGTATTATTCATTCTCGTCTTTCCCAAAAGTTTCCAAACATTACACCAGTTCCCTTTCTTTGGTATTTTGTACTCAGGATCCCTGGTCTCTGTGCTTGATAGATTGAGTATAAGGGGTCATTCTCGGGAAACAGATCGGTTGTGTTTATGCTGTCTTTCGGTCACTAGATGGCCCATATTTAAGCATTCAGTAATGGATATGAAGAGGCCTCTACAGATGTAATTTAAGTGACAAGTGCTGAAGAAAAAGCTGGGTAATGGGATAGAGAGTTGAAAGAGAAGGGGATGTTAGACAAGGTGGGCAGTCATACTGAGCCAGCACCTGAATGAAGAAAGAGCAAGCCATGAGCTGTAATGCATCGGGGCCTTCTTTTCCTTGTCAATCAGGATGCCCCTCTGGTCYAGGGCTTTCTGTACTGTGGTGCATGTACTGCAGGCCCCTAGAGGGCACTAGCCACCTGTTGTCATTGTAGGTTTGACCATCTTATCACAGCTTTCCAGCAGATGGCAGTAAAGTTCATAAGACAGGGTGACATTTTCAACTTACACAAAGGTAGGAATTTCTAATTTGCTTTTAGGCTATTTATCGCCTTGTCCTTCTCTGGTACATCAAGGTCCTTTTCTCTCTGGGCCTCAGCATTATCCTCTAATTTTTTTTTCTCTTTCAAATATTCAGATTTACAGAAGAACTGCAAGCGGTGTACAAAAAGCCCCCATGTGACCTTGACTGGCGCTAGCTCACCAGTTATTAATATTTGGCCACCTGTGCTTTTTTTGCTCCCTTCTTCTCTATAGTTCTGGTTTGTTTGTTTTGTTTTGTTTTTTTTCTGGACCATTTTGGAGTTTTGCAAGCTTCCTGCTTCCTTACTCTGAATACCCTGGAGAGTATTTCCTTGAAACAAAAACTTTTGTTATTTGTTTTACATAATCATTGTACCTTAACCACATTTAGGAAATTTAGCATTGGTTCAGTGCTTTTCATTCACAAATTTTGTCCTTGTCCTACTGATACCTTCAAAGCTATTTTGACTTCCTTTTCCAAGTCCAGTGTAGGATTATACTTGGCATTTACATATTGTTTTGTGTCTTTACTCTCCTTTAATGTGAAGGTTCTTCTTTCTCTTTCACAGCATTAATCCTTTTGTAGACTATAGGTCAGTTGTTTTGAGACTGTCTTGCTTGGTATTCTCTCTCTAGATTCAAGTTGTGTGTTTGGGGCAGGAATATCACAGAAGTACTGTTCTATCCTTCTCAGTGCATTGCATCCAGAGAAGCACATGAAATCACTTTGTTCTACTACTGGTGGCCTTGAGCCTCTAAGAATTCCATGTTGAATCGCTCTTGTAGCAGGTGAACTCTGACCACTAGCAGATTCTCCCACTTGATATTTGCCCTCTTACTTGGCCAGTGTTCTGTTAGACTTCCTCTGCAGTTTCAGTTCAGTCATATGAGCCGGAATTGTCTCCCAGATTTCAACCTGCTCTGCAGCACTACTACCTATGATTCGGCTTCAAATCAGTAATTATAACGCCCCTTTCCTCTCCTCATGAGTCACCTCCCCTGGTCAGAATCTCTGAACCAGTGCTCATTTCTTCTATACAATCAGCATCTTTGAATACACACACACACACACACACACACACACACACACACAATACCTTTATTTTATCTATTAAATATGTGGTGCTGAAGATCAAACCCAGGCCCCCGCACATGCTAGGCGAGCATTCTACCGCTCTGCCACAACCCCAGCCCCCCAATCAGCATCTTTTTAATAGTGTTCTTGGTTTTGAGTTGTACTCATATTAAGTTTGGGCAAAATTAGGCTTGAGAGAAATGTTTTCAGAGAGTGTTGGAGCTGAACATGGGGAAGGAGTAGATGTCATTGGTCAGCTCAGGTTCATTTGATCTCAAATCACAGTCTTTCATGCTAATTGTATTTGATTGCAGTTAAAGTTTAAGTGTTTACTGCATGTCAGTTACAGTGCAGAGCATTCTCCCTGCACTAACCTATCCTTGAAGCAACTCTAGGAAATAGATGTCATTTTATTTGTTTTACAATTGAGAATATGCAGTCTTAAACAGGTTTAAGTAATATGGTTGGAAATTACTAACACTGAAATTCTTGTCTATCTCCAAAAGTCTTGCCCTTTTTTTAAACGGAGTAGATGGGAGGAAAGTCACAGTAGGGCTACTACTTAAGTGTCAGCCTTTTACAGAGCCTAGATTGGAAGTAGTTACCAGCCTGCCATCCAGTTTGAGGTGTTTTAAAGTACAAGAACTTAGGTTCTTCCAGTTTTTACATTCACAACCATAAGATCTGGTTGCCTGGGATTGTCCAGGTTTATAGCTGTTTCCTTGACATGACAATTAAAAGTATCCCACTTGCTTTTAAAAGTATTATGATTTGGCCATGCACCTGTAGTCCCAACTGATTAGAAGGCTGAGACAGAGAGATTACTTGAGTCCAGGAATTCAGAGCCAACCTAAGCAACATAAGGAGGCCCTGTCTCTTAAAAAGTAAAAATTAAGAGCTGTGTGCAGTGGCACATGCCTATAACCCCAGCAGCTCAGGAGACTGAGGCAGGAGGATCACAAGTTCAAGGGCAGCATTAGCAACTTCTCAAGATGTGTCTGAAATAAAAAGGACAGGATGTAATTCAATGGTAGAGCACCCCGGATTCAATCCCTAGTACCAAACAAAAAAAAAGTAAAATTAGGGCTAAGGGTGTAACTTGAGGCAAGATTGCTTGTCTCATGTGCTCAAGGCCGTGGGTTCAATCCCCAGCACCACAAAAGATGAAAAGATGGGGGGTAAATTATATGTGTGTGTGTGTGTGTGTGTGTGTGTGTGTGTGTGTGTGTGTGTATTATATATATGTAGTAGTTTGAATAATTATATTGTCCCAAACTCATTGTCCTTCCTGAAATCTCTTCAGGAAGACTTGTGTTTCATTGTAACACTAATTGAGATTGGTCTGTTTTTATCACCAACTTTTTTTGCCCCTACCCTAATTATACATTTCTGGTTAGCTTTGTAGGCGRTATCAGTTGGTTTTGACTAGAATTTGCCATGTTGTCCAGTCTGGCTTCAAATTCCTGGGCTCAGGTGATCACCTTTCCTCAGCTTCCATAGTGCTAGAACCATAGACACCCACACCAACCTTGTTTGCTTCATTTAGTCAACAGTTATCAAGATTTTGCCAGCCTCACTCTGGTTTTTTKTTGTTGTTGTTGTTGTTTTRTTTTTGGTGGTGCTAGGGATCAAACCCAGGTCCTTGTGCATGCAAGGCAAGCACTCTGCCAACTGAGCTATATCCCCAGCCCTGGCATCCTTTTTATGGATGTGTRTATATATGTCAGTAAGTACCAAGGTTGAACTCAAGAATGCCTTACCATTGAGCAGCATCTCCACCCCTTTCTGTTTATTTTGAGACAGGGCCTTACTTAGTTGCCAAGGCTAGCCTTGAACTTGCAATCTTCCTGCCTCATCGTCCCAAGTCACTRGGATTACAGGTGTACACCACTGCCCAGTTCTGTCATCCTTTCTGCCAAAACATTTAAGGTCAATGAGACTTTACATTAGTGGACTTAAGCAGCTGAAATAAATTCTTTTAKGGGCTGGGGATGTGGCTCAAGCGGTAGCGCGCTCGCCTGGCATGTGTGCGGCCTGGGTTCGATCCTCAGCACCACATACAAACAAAGATGTGTGTCGGCCGAAAACTAAAAAATAAATATTAAAATTCTCTCTCTCTCTCTCTCTCAAAAAAAAATATTTAAAATAAATTCTTTTAACTGTCAGATTCTCTATGCTAGTGGGACACCCCACAGGTGCGCAGAGCTCATCCAGAGCAGTTCCTGCTTCTGCAACTCACATTCCCTTTCTCTTGGCAGTGCACGATCTGATTTTCTGGCGAGATGTGAAGAAGACTGGGTTTGTCTTTGGCACCACACTGATCATGCTGCTGTCCCTGGCAGCCTTCAGTGTCATCAGTGTGGTTTCTTACCTCATCCTGGCCCTTCTCTCTGTCACCATCAGCTTCAGAGTCTACAAGTCTGTCATCCAAGCTGTACAGAAATCAGAAGAAGGCCATCCATTCAAGTGAGTTGAAGTATCACACACAATATTCCACATTTCAGTGGAGGGGTTTGCTGAGACTGGTCCAGACTGAAAATTGGACCTAAATAAAAAGCAAGAAATACAGAGTTTCATGGAGCTAACTGGTGACATTATTCATCTCCTAGAGACTATGATTACCCTAAGAAGTGGCCCAAACCGTTTTTTTACACACTAAAGGCTTACGCTTTAAGATCAAAGAGGACTAAACCCTGAGCATGACGGCAAGCGCAGTACACCTAGAACTGCGCTCATTCATGTGGTCGATCTTGCCTATGAGCCTCCCATATGACACACTATCTTTATTTTACTTATTTATTTTTATGTGGTGCTGAGGATCGAACCCAGTGCCTCACACATGCAAAGCAAGCACTCTACCACTGAGCTACAACCCCAGCCCTCATGTGGATGAATCTTGAAATGGCTTTGAAATCTTAACTGGACCTGTGTTCTCGGTGGCATCCAGAACTGAATGTATTTACTCCTGGTTTTATTACTGACTTCCTCCTTATCTCTCATTTGGTTTTAATAATTCCAGAATCAAGTTGGTAGGTCATGCATTTCTAGGATCCAGTTTCTAGCTTTTCTGATTGTTCTGTCACTTTAACAGATCTTTTCTTCTTGAAATTCTTAACCCATAAAAACATAAACACTAGCAAATGACAGTTTTTTAAAAAGCCCTTTTCTCATAGAGGAAGAGGCCCTGCTGTGACCTCAGCACTGCAGCTGAACGCCTTCTGGCCACCATGCTGTGCATATACTTTGCTTCTGTAAAAGAAGAAATAACTTAAGTCAAGTGACATTAAAATTTTCTTGCCAATTAATTTTAATAAGTCAATAGCACAGAATGAATGTGTGAATAAATTTTACTGCTTTGCAACATGCTCTGATATCTTAAGGGAGTATTGTTCTTTTCTGCATGACACTTGTAGATATAAAAAWATATATATATGTTTTATGGGCTGAGGTTGTGGCTCAGCAATAGAGCAGTCGCCTAGCATATGCAAGGCCCTGGGTTCAATCCTCAGCACCATATAAAAATAAATAAATAAAGATATTGTATCTAAAAAAAATATTTTAAAATGTATCATGAAAATTTATTAATTACAATACCTAATTTTTAAAACTCTTACACATAATTGTAAGTATTTTCTTAATAAATAGAAGGGAAAAAAGCCTATTACTCTTCTATTTTCCCCATGACTAGGGGCTCCTAAAGGTAGTAAAAGTGGCCTCACCTTTCCTGACATCCCAGCATGTAGCAGAATGTCTGGTATGCAAGATGCATGCAGTCAGTATTGAGGGAATGAACAGGTTATGAGCACATGGTTACATCTGTAGTAGTATCTGGGGACAGAACCCTGGTCTTCTAAAGTTTTCAGCTCTGTCAAATTTATTATTTTTTAAACAAATATTTTAAATGCCTTCTTCATCATTCTGAATGAAATTCGTAGATAATGTGATCTAGCTTCAAATATAGTTTCAAAACAGATCAATTATAAAAATGTGAAACATAGAYATATTACTTAATTATAAATGACTATCAGCCAATATTTAGTTGCTTGAATATGACCATACCCAGTAGCATAGTGGAGTTGGATTCTTGCACCTACCTCTGTAATCATTAGTGCAGATGTGATTTTCCAAAATGGGAAACAAATCATAAACGGAGTATGGTTTTAGGGCCTAGGGCTATAGCTCAGTGGCATATCACTTGCCTAAAACATGTGACAGTAGTATAGTTTTACAAAACTCAGGATTTTTTTTTTTTAATTGTAAACTTCTTATGGCATTCAATCCTCACAATAATCTTGTGATTTTTTTTTATTATTATTTTTAATATATATTTTTACTTGTTGATGGGCCTTTTATTTGTTTGTTTTTGGTACTGGGGATTGAACTCTAAGGCGCTAAACCACTGAGCCACATCCCCAGCCCTATTTTGTATTTTATTTAGAGATAGGGTCTCACCAAGTTGCTTATTAGCCCCTTTCTTTTCCTGAGGCTGGCTTTGAACTCATGATCCTCCTGCCTCAGCTTCCTGAGCTGCTGGGATTATAGGCGTGCACCACTGCACCTGCCTTATTCATTTATTTATATGCAGTGCTGAAAATTGAACCCAGTGTCTCCCACATGTTAGGCAAGTGCTCTACCACTGAGCCATATGTCACGGCCATTTAATTATAAATGGGTTCACCTTTTTTTGAATATTCATTGAGGGAGTCAAATTTACATAGAACATAGGACAATTCTTCACTGTGTATGACTGCCCCATACTTTTCAGACATCTGGCATCTTTGTCTCTGCCCACTAAATGATGATATTATTTTCACCCCATGATAGCAAAAAATATCCCAGAGATTTCTAAAATGCACCCTAGAGGCCACTTTAACCCTCAAGAACTGCTGTGCTGACAGAGAATGCTCCCTCTTATTTCAAACATGTGACCATTGTTTCTTCCTCTGAAAGAGCCTACCTGGATGTGGACATTACACTGTCCTCAGAAGCTTTCCATAATTACATGAATGCTGCCATGGTGCATGTCAACAAGGCCCTAAAACTCATCATTCGTCTCTTTCTGGTGGAAGATCTGGTCGACTCCTTGAAGGTTAGTTGCTTCTGCAGTTTTTGATGGTGAAACTAAGAAAAATCAGGGTCTGGATTTTGATTCAGAGGGAAAATGGTGCATAGGGTYTTATCAGACAAAAACAAACATATGCTTAGCTCAGTCATCTTGTGAAAATGAAGGTAGTAGTCAGTAGAGAAAGCTGTCACCAAGGGCTAGGGAGATTAGTTCAGTGTCAAGAGCTCTTGTGCAGGGCCCTGGGTTCAATCCCCAGTATTGCAAGCAAAAAAAAAAAAAAAAAAAAGTATTGTTGATGTCATTGTTAAACATAAAAAAAAAAATAAGTTATATAGATATCATGAGCTGGGCATGGTGGCACACACCATGTAATTACACCTGTAATCCCAGTGTCTCAGAAGGCTGAGGCAGGAGGATCAAGAGTTCAAGGCCAGCCTCAGCCACGTGGCAAGGCTTTAAGCATCTCTATCTCAAAATAAAAAGGTGTGGGGGTGTGGTTCAGTGGTAGAGCACCCCTGGGTTCAATCCCCACTACCAAAAAAAAAAAAAAAAAGATCATGAGAAGCTGTCACCTCCTATTAGAGAATGAACATCAGATTATCTGGTAATAAGCTGGTGCGGTGACACATGCCAGTAATCCCAGCAGTTTGGGAGGTTGAGGCAGGAAGATTGCCTCAGCAACAGGAATGCACTAAGCAACTCAGTGAGACCCTGTCTCTAAATAAAATACAAAATAAGGCTGGGGTGTGGCTCAGGAGTTGAGTGCCCTTAAATTCAATCTCTGGTACTCCCCCAAAAAAGAATATCTGATAATAGATTCTCTCATGCACTTAAATGTATAATGCAAGTGAGGGAACCTTCATTTTGAAATCATGTGTCATAGGTCACTGTGTTTATACACACTTAGTTAGCTAGAGGTGATTGGTATCAGTTAACATGAACTTTACTGGTTTTCTGCTTAACCCCTCTTACATTGGCTTTCACAGCTGGCTGTCTTCATGTGGCTGATGACCTATGTTGGTGCCGTTTTTAATGGAATCACCCTTCTGATTCTTGGTAAGGTGGCAAGGAAAATGTCCATGCTCCTTGAAGTGATTTGTGAGGATAAGTAAAGAGGMTGTCCAGCATGGCTCTACTTGTTCCACGTGGTCCCACCTCAGTAGCCAGAAGCTATGAACTAGATACTGGAGGAACTTGTGATCACAAATTTGTTAAATGGTCCCATTTATGATATTTCAAAATAGCTGGAAGTAAAGGAGAGTTATCTAGATTTGGTTTGAAAATGGGGATCTTATTTATAATAAAGCCATTTTTTTATTTGGAAATTGTTATCTGTAGGACAAAGAAAGCAACCTGTATAAGTGTAAAAAACCACAAGCCTCTCTCATCTACTCTTTTTTTGTAATGGTTCTTAATTGGGAGCTCTGGCCAGGATCTGTCGTTTTGAGGAAAGTGTATTACCCTATATTTCCTGAGTAAATGGATGCAGTTGCTTGTGTCTTGATACTTTGTGACTGTCTCATGCACACCTACACTTGCCCTGTCCTGTGATTCTGTCTTTCAGCGGAGCTGCTCGTCTTCAGCGTCCCAATTGTCTATGAGAAGTACAAGGTAGGCATTTATTCCAAATCAGTGTGCTGATTGATAAATGACTRATTTTAGTTGATTTTAAAGTCAAATTTGGGTTCAAATTGGTCACTGTGTTTTCCTCCACTGAGAGAAACTAGATGTCTAGAAGAGATGTGGGTGGGAAAGAGACTTACTTGTTACACCTTGTGTAAACATTTCGAGGTTTTATTGCATAGATGCATTATCTCTTCAAAAAGTTGAAAAAATGCTTAATGAATAAAAACCGAATGTAAAAGGAAGCAGTTTCTTTTGTTTTTTKGGGGGGTTAGCTGTAGGCTGTTCAGGGTGGTGCAAGCAGATGTTTACATAGTAGAATGCTCCAGTAAAGGAAGTACCAAGTAAAGCTTACCTTTGCAAAAGCTTTCACTTTCACACAGCTTGGCATAATTTGAAGTCTGAAACATTAATCTATGTGTTACTACAGCTGAGTCTTCTTTCTTTCCTTAAAGACCCAGATTGATCACTATGTTGGCATCGTCCGGGATCAAACCAAGTCAATTGTTGAAAAGTAAGTACATTTGGAAACACATTTCATCATGACATGTGTTTTTTCCCCTGGTTATTTTTAGTCTTTGTCTAAAATGCCCATATCAAAGATAGTCATTTTCGTCCTGAAAAAAAAAACTTTGTTTTGTTTATTGGGGGGGGGGGGGCAAGGTAGAACACTTGCCCTGGGTTCAAAATCTAGTACCACCAAGTTTAGGGGTTTTTTTGTTTGTTTTTGTGGTACTGGAGATAGAACCCAAGGTCGCTCTGCCACTCAGCTATACCCCCAGCCCTTTTTATTTTTATTTTTTTAATTTTGAGACTGGGTCTTGCCAAGTTGTCCAGGCTGGTCTCGAATTTGCAAACCTCTTGCCTCTGCCTCCGAGTAGCTGGGGTTATAAGCATACATCATCATACCCARCTAAGCTAACTGTTTTCTGTGATTACCAAATCTCTCTTTTCTTTTTTAAGTAATACCTAAATCAAGTAATAAAATATTGTAGTGCTGGGGATGGAACCTAGGACTCGCCTATATTAAGGAGCTGCTTTTTTATTTTCAGTTATTCATAACAAATATTATGAAACCAATGATTTGAAGTAAAATGTTAACATTCCATACTTTCTTCAGTTTTTCTTTTTAACTTTTTATTGGTATATCATGAATCATACACTATAAGTGAGATTCAATATGCCTCATTCATCCGTCCAAATAATTTGATCAGTCTCATTCCCCAGAGCCTTCCCTTCCCTTCTTCAGGTGTTCTTTTAGAAAGAAGTACCACAGATTCCCTGTGTGCTGCTTCCATACCCCAGATTTTAGTGCTTTCTCCAGGTTTGTCAAGAAAAAGCTGAGTAGGCTAGAGATGTATGTAGCTCAGTGATAGAGCACTTGCCTAGCATGAGTGAGTCCTAGGTTCCATCCCTAGCACTACAAAAAATTAAGAAGAAACTGAGTATATCCATTAGGTCTGGTTTGATGCCAGAATCTTCACCTGATTTTTTGATTTTTTTTAAACTGGGAATTGAACCCAAGGGTACTTTGCCACTGAGCTACATCAGACAGACAGCACAAATATATATATATATAGTGGTTATTTACCCTAGTTAATTTGTGAAAGGTGATTATAGCTAGGCTTTAAAGCTAACATCTTGAATTTTAACATTTATTTATTTTTCTTAGTTCTCGGCGGACACAACATCTTCGTTTTTTTTTGTATGTGGTGCTGGGGATCGAACCCGGGCCGCACGCATGCGAGGCGAGCGCGCTACCGCTTGAGCCATATCCCCAGCCCTAAAGCTAACATCTTGAGTGCCAGTATGAGCTTGAATTGGGTTGCCAGCTGTGTTTGTGGCATTTGTGGAGAATAGCCTTGACATTACTGAGGGTTTTCTTTTTTCTTTGTGATACTGATGATAGAGCCCATTGGCACTTTACTACTGATACACCCTCAGCCCTTTTTATTTTTTACTTTAAGACAGAGTCTCCCTTAGTTGCCAAGACTGTCCCTGAGCGTTATGGGATTATAGGCTTGCACCATTGCACCAGGTTTTCTGATTGAATAGCCCCTTTGCCAGAATAAAAGGCAGCTTCTGGTATCCTGTGAGGGGCTGGGAAATGTTGCCACATCCCATAGGCCTGAGATCCAGGATACTATGACCCATATCTGTTTTACATGTCTCCTTCACCCTGACTTCTAGGTCCTTTGTGGCACTGGTGGGTTCTGTACCTCACAGAGCAAGAGAAATGGGCCTTTTTTAAGTAATATCTTGTGAGTTTAAGTAATAGACTGCAAGTTTAGAACATAGTCATCAGGCATCTTGCCTGGGTCCCTACATTCTTCTCTGGAACCCTCAGTGAAAGACCCAAATTCCTGGCAGAGAAAGAGGATCAGGCATGGCAGCAGGGGAAGAGGGATGATCTTTGTGGACCCCTCAGGCTCATCCCAGGCAGAGAACAGGACAGCTTGGAACCCCTATCTCTCTTCACCATATCCCTGTGAAAATGGGAGAATGTTTCTAGGTTGCTCTAGCAAGTCCAGGACTGTCTTCTACTATCACTGTAAAAATGTAAACCCAGACAAATGCTTATTTTTTGTTTGTTTGTTTTTGTTTTCTTCTTTCCCCCCGCCCTGAACAGGATCCAAGCAAAACTCCCTGGAATCACCAAAAAAAAGGCAGAATAAACACATGGAAACCAGAAATGCAACAGTTACTAAAACACCACTTAATAGTTATAATGATGTTACTTGTACCATGGAGGACATGCTCAGTGTCAGCTTGAGCCTGCATTCCAAGCTTATTTTTATTTTAATTTGGTATTTTCTCCCCTCCTTTCCCTTTACCCTCAGTATCAAGCACAAGAAACAGTGGACTGAACAAAAAGAACTGATATCTTAGAACCCAAAAGAATAAAGAAAGAATAAAATTAATAGGATAAATTATACCTTAGTGGTGGTGGAGCTTTTTACCTGTAGCATGAAAAGGGGAAAGATTAGAAAAAGAGAAAGTAAATGGTAGAAAAATTTCTTGGGTCCTTCTATTCAGTTTTCAAGGACTAGTTTTACACAACTCCCATTATAGTTTTGCCCTTATTTTTAAGTTAAGAAATAATGATTAACTTATGAAGAAATGGTTTGGGGACAGGAGGGGGATGCCTTCCTTGGGTTGTTTGCAGCCCACCAATCCCATCTTCCYGCCCCACACTGTGAGCAGCTACTCTTAATATTCCTCTTCTTGACTTAATGATATAACTTCCAGCTCTGAGTAACTTATAGGTTGTAGTGATAATTCCTGTCTCCAGAATGCCATCTGAGAAATAAGAGTAGAACAGAAAAGGGTGGGAAAGGGTGTGACAGGGGCACAGCAATGGCCACCTCCCTCTGCCACTCACCCACAGGGAAGGAAGGGCTCCACCAGCTGGGAGCATGGTGTCCACATCATCTCTTGGATGCCAGTTCTGGGAGTTAATTTGAGAACTCATTCCTGAATGTGCTTTCCCCTCTTTCCTGCCCACCCACCTCACCTCAAGTTTAATAAATATGGTTGTACTTTTATTATTATGAAATAAATGTCTGTACCTGCTGTACACTGCTGTAAACTTGTTAGAGAAAAATAATCTGCATGTGGGCTCCCTAGTTATTGAGTTATTGTAATCCTGTCTCAGTCCGTGGAGGGGGAACAGTCTCAAAAGATGGAACTACCGAAAAAGAAAACGTTTTTCTTTATCTACCACCACCACCACCACTACCACTGCTTTCTCCTCACATGCTGTTGCTTTAATGTGTGCTCATCAGTTTAGTGTAAGAACCAAAGCCAAGCTGGCTTGAGGGGAGATCTTGTGTGTCTGTGGCTAAGAGACTGCACGCCAGTGTGGGGACGCGCATTTTGTTGTTCATGTGGAGTCTAGCTGCTTTGAGGGTGCTTTCCTTTTTCAGACACACAAAATCCTCAGCCCCTGTACCATGGCCCAGGATGCTCCTTTGGAGAGTGCTTTCTGTGGACTTTTAAGTTAAGATGACCAGACAGGGCCAGAGTGTATTGATGGGCTTTCTTCAGTTGGAGACAACAGAGCAGTGCACAGGCACAGCAGGTGGAGGGTGATTGGGAATCATTGATTCCTGTTTGAGACAAAGTTTCTTCCTCCCTTTTCCACATGGAGACTCAAGTCAGTGTGAAAGCAGTCTTTAAGTTCCTTAAGCTTGTAGCTCCTACGCAGTCCTGCCCTTCCAAGAGGGAGCAAGCTGTAAGGGCTACAATATTTGTTGGTCCCAAAGTACTGCAGCTCTGCAGGAAGCACTGGGAGGATTTTTTTTTTTTTTAAATTACTGGGGAATTTAGAGGAGTAAAAGGAACTCTCCCCATACTCCCTTTTCTTATTTTCTTGCCCCCTTTCTTTTTGAAATTCTTAACATTTTCTGTCATATTAAGAATCTCCCTCTCCATCACCATTCCTTACCCTCCCAGGAAGTCGATACACTGATGGACTTTCAGGCTTCCCCTCCAAAGGACCTCTTTCTGCACTGGAAGCCCCACACCTGGTTCTTTTCTTTTGTTGTTGCTGTGTTAATGATAATGGGAGAGATGTTTGTGCYACGCAGAATTTTTTTTTTTTTAAGGAAAACATAGACAAAAAAGTACTAATGAAACTGTGTGCGTGTCTGTGCGTGCAACATAAAAATACAGTAGCACCCAAGGAGCTTGAATCTTGGTTCCTGTAAAACTGCAAATTGATGTGGTATTAATTTAAAAATAAAGAACACAATGACTGGTGGTGCTCTGCTAACTTTATTCTTTATACTTATAAACGGGGCTTCCTTCCACTTCCCCCCTCCTCACTCCACTTTGAGGGTTTTAAAAAACAATTTATATGAATTCCCAAAATTGCAGAATTTCCATAATGTAAAAAGCACAGTTGTGCATTTGGTTTCTGAGAAAATCAGACACCCTCTAAAAGGTGAGCTTAGGAGAAAGATGAGCTGGAGGTATGGCTTAGTGGTAGARCACTTTTCTGGCATGCATGACGCCCTGGGTTCAATCACCCCAGCCACACTTTAAAGAAAAAAAAAAAAGGATGCAAGGGGGCTGCTGGCCCAGAGGAACACACCAGCCTGGAAGGGTTCCCCACTTGCAATGTGAAGCAGCCTATATGAACCACAGAAGGCCACACTAAGCACCAAAATCAAGAATCRGTCACCTCTTTGTAAAACAACTTGTTTCTCAAGTTGCTCTTCCCAAAACTAAGGCTGCTGTGACTCAAGCTGGATTTTAAAAATTTATTCAACATACCTCTTAAAAAACTTAGGCTGAAGTATTTTTTTWAAATGACTGAAGCAAACAACTTCACAAATACGCATACAAATGTTCAAATAATGTCACTAAGTAACATGGTATATAAATATGTATTCAGAGTAACATTTACATATTGGCCATAATAGCAAGGATACCATTAACCAAAAAAAAAAAAAAATGAAATTGTTCATGTCAGAATCCCAAGGCAAGGAGGCACCCGAGCAATGAGGGCAACTCTGAGGCCATAGCTCCAGTCACAGTAGTAATCACTACAGYGGCACTTCCCGGATCACATTTGAGCCCCCAAAATTTATACCTCTAGCAAGGTCCTAAGATGATGATGCAGATTTGGGGCCACACTTAGAAAGCCACTCAGTCACTTTTGTTCTAAGGCCTCTTCTGTGAAGGGGGAAACCAATACCTAACCTGTTTTCTGACTTGGCTTACTTGAGCATCAACAGTGAGCTCAGGTGATTATAACCAGTTGTCCTGATTTGCCTGTTTTTGAATGGCAGTGTGGAAAAAGTGATAGAATACTTCTGGATTTGAAACCAACATGCATGAAGTAAAGAATGGCGATGCCCAGGCTGGTGCCACAGTTTATCTGTTCTCAAGATTTTAATACTGTCTCAAAAACCCTGGAGGGCTAAACTAGTGGAAATTCACTTTTCAGCCAACAGACAGCCCATCCCCAAATTCCAAAACAATGGAAGAACACAAAGCCAGAGCCTTGCCCTGCTGAGTAGACCTTTGGCCAGGGGTGAAGGGCCATCTTGTGTTCTGATCCCAAAGCTGCAAAGCAGCCTCTTGCCTCCCAGCTGAGGCCTGCAGTAGAGAGAACTGCCCCTCATTCCAAGAGCTTAGCATCCTCAAGAAGTGCAGTTCTCTGCCAACCTCAGGAATCATAAGTGCACTGTGACAGCCTGCAGTGCCCCAAACATGCCACCCCCCTTGCAGGCATAATGGGTAAAGAAATTCTAATAATTTACCAGAGATTGGGAGGCAGGGTGGTGTGATGCAAAGAACACTGAATTGGGAGTTGGGATTTTTTTTTTCCTACTTCTTGTCCTGTTTCTACCTTAGCTGTGTGAAAAGTTGTTTCTGGTATTAAGAATTTTGCCTGCGTGAAGGGGGAGAGATGGTACTAAGTTATCTCCAGAGTCCCTTCCAACTCCAGCAAAACTGTATAAAATGCTATAAAATTCGTGGTATAAAAATCCAACTCCCAATTAGAAAGTCAAGGAACTTGGCCTGAGGCACTTGAACCTTGGGTTCTGGCCTGGGGTGGGTAAGGATTAAGAGCTTTCTCTGCCTTCCGCTTTCTCAAGACAGCCCGCCCTTGCCCCCCAGGGCCACACCCTTGCAGACCCCACCCACAAGCTCCACCCCTTGGCTTCCCCGCCCTGACTTTAAGCCAGCCGAGAACGCCGTCCCTGCAGGGGCATCCCTTTGTGGAAAGCCAACGCTGGGGCAGGAGAAAGAGGCCGAGGCTACAGGAATGTATGGGATATTTAGTCCTCCCATCCCCGCCGCTGTCCTAGCTCCTTCTTCCTTTAGGTCCTTCCCCCACTACCTCACAGCTTATCTCTGATACACACATAATAAATAAGACATTTGCACATTAGGGTGATTGGGTCAGCTCCGTCTCCGTCCCGCCCCCTTTCATATAAAAGCATTAAATACAGTTCCAAAATAAAATACAAAGAGCAAAAAGGGGCCTGATCTCAGGGCCACCTGTTCTCCACGGGAGAATGAGTCTACACATCCCTCTCTCGGACCTGCCTGGGAGATCGCGGGGCCCCTTCCCTACCCACAGGGCCTGGCCCTGCCTCCGGAAGAGAGAGGCCGAGGCCCGGCCCCAGGCCCTGGGAGCGAAGAACGGGTAGYGAGTCCACTGAGGACAAAGGGGCAAAGGGAGGAGGCGGGAATATAGGCCAACTGCCGGGACCGCCAGTGCCCCGGGCTCGAATGGACCTGGCGCYAGACCAAAAAAACGCCAGATTCAGTTTAGGGGTAAACGGAGGCCCTCAGGGCAGGAGAGGAGCAAAGGAAAAAAGTGCTAATCCCTTTACACGAAGCCGGTACCGGCGGGAGGGAGTGGCAGAGGGCGGAGCCACCTGGGGCAGGGTCTCTCTGAGCCTGCCCATGAGGCTGGCGCAGCTGGCAGGGCCCAGGCTCAGGGCGGGTCGCCCCGCCCGTCCGTGGTCCCACGCGCCCTCCCCATCCCGGAGGCTCCCAGCCCAGGGCCCCGCCCCCAGCCTAAGGCCCCCGTCCGTGGCCAGGGCCTCCGAGAGGCCAAGAATACCAATTAGGACAAGGCAGTCAGCCGTCCCCGAGACGGGAGCTGTGCCTGCTGGCGTGCAAGGCCGCAGAGAACTGGGCCCCCGGCCAGAACAAGGGGCCGGCGCGCTCCTCCTGCCCTCCCCGAGGCCCTAATACTGACTGATGACGCCCCCACCCCAGCCTGGCAAAGGGGCGCCTCGCCGGCTGCTGCCCGACACCGGCTGGGGCTAGCGGCGCTCGGGGCTAACACTTCAGAGACCGCTTTGGCTTCATAGAARGTGGAGCGCTGCGCAAAGGGCCGTAGCACCGAGACCGGGTGCGCTTCCCCCAGCGCCCGACTAGCTCCAACACCTAAGTAGCAAAGAGCAGTAGCGTCGGCACCACCCAATCTCCGCCCGGCCCGGCCAGCGGGGGGGCGCGACAGCGGTCGGGCGTGGGAAGCTCTAGCRTGAGATACGAGGGCCTCCCAGCCCGGGCCCGGCCGAGCTCAGGGCGACCCGGCGAGTCGGCTACGCCCGGCACACGGCACCCGGCTTGAGGTCCGTGCCGCCGTCACGCTGTGCAGGGGCGGGTGGTCCGAAGCCCTCGTGGCCGTAGCAGCGCAGCGCCGCCTCCTCGTAGGCCTCCAGGATGGTCTGGCGCTCCTCCGGTGTGAAGTCCATGGAGAAGGGGTGCACCTGCAGGATGTGCCGCTTGATGGTGCTCACCTTGAGCGTGGCCAGCGCGCCCCCGCACACCATGCACACCAGGCCGCGCCGGCTGCCGTCGTAATCCATCAGGTATTCGCCCCGCCAGCGCGGCTGGTAGTTCCGCCGCTGTTCCCGGCTGCGGGGCGGCGGCGGCGGGGGAGGGGGCGGTGGCGGCAGTGGCAGCGGCGGGAAGGCCAGTCCTCCAGGTTCCGGCCCGTCCTCTTCGTCCTCCTCTTCCTCGGCGGGCCGCTCCAAAGCAGCCCCAGGGGAGAGTGGGACTTCGCCTGGAGAAGGACAAAGGGCTGCGYTGGAGTTGCTGGCCGACAGCAGGACAGGTCCCACATCTCAGCACACATTCCCCTCCTTTTGTCCCTCGATCCCAGCCTCCCTTCAGCCTTCTACTCTCACTCTTCAAGCAGCCACGCTAGGCCCAGCCCTCTCCCTGCCTGCCCGGTCCCTGCCCACGCTCCTGGCCACCTGCTCTGGCTCACCCCACCACTTCTCCTCTGGCTCCGCCTCCCCCGCCCTTCCCGCTTCCCGGACTGCGGCAGTACTGGGGCCGGTGGAGCCGGGGGGCGACTCCGAGCAGGGCAGCCCCAGGGCCAGAAGGTGGGCGGCCTTCTCGCTCCATTCCTTGACAGGCCCGGTGAGGCACGTGGAGCCCGGGTGGCGCTGGCGGATGTGCCGCTTGATGGTGCTCATCTTGAGCGAGGCCAGCGCGCCCCCGCACACCATGCACACCAGGCCGCGCCGGCCGCCGCCGTCCAGCTCCATGAGGTACTCCAGTCGCCAGCGCTCTTGGTAGTGAGGGCGGTGGTCGCCGCCCCGCAGCGACTGCCCRGGAACCCCCTCCCTCTCCGCCTCTCCCTCGCTCTCGCCCTCCTCTGTGGGCCCGGGCCTCTCAGGGACCCTGCCAGCCTCTTCCTTTACGTCTGGGGGACTGAGATCCTGAGAGGAGGGGGCTCCAGCAGCAGGGGCCGAGTCCCGGCTCTTTCTGGTCAGGTCCTGGGGAACGAGGTCCTCGTCTGTTGGGGAAGGGTTGAGGGAGAGGGGCTCAGCCTGCTGACGGTGTTGTCCTTACCCATGCGGGGTGGGGGGGTATCTATCCTTGGTCTTCACCCCAGCCCCAAGCTAGAGGCCCCAGGGAGAGGGAGAGGGAGAGGGAGGGGGGAAAGAGAAAGAGAGAGGGAGGGAGGGAGGGAGGGAGGAAGAGAGAGGGAGGGGGGAGAGGGGGCAGAGGGGAGAGGCAGAGAGGGAGAGAGAGAAGGAGAGAGGGTGAGAAAGAGAGGGCACTGGAGAGTCCGTCCACCAGTGCAAGTGCAGGGATGGGATGAGTAGGCGGGGCCTTTGGCCCTTGGCCAGGAGTACCTGCCTCTCAGTTTTAGTCACAGACCCCACCTTGCAGCACTAAAGAGGGGGGAGTCTCAGCCTCGGGGCAACCTCGCACCTGGTGGGGGCTGGGTGAGCTCAGACAGCGCCCCAGGCTGGCCACCCCAAGCCTGCAGCAGGGCACTGCGCTGAGGGCCGCTGAGCCCCAGAGAGCTGGGGTGCACTTCCAACACATGGGCACGGATGTCATCCAGGTGCAGGCTGGGCAATGTCCGGCCACACGCCATGCACACCAGCCGGTTCCCCCGCGGGTCATAGTCCATGAGACATTCAGCCCGGAACCAGCTCTGCAAGGACTCCTTCAGCCTTCTCTCCAGGCGCTGGGACCCCAGTCCCCTGCTGCCCCCAGCCCTTCTGGAGGCTGAGAGGCACCTGCGTGGGGATGCCACTGGGCCCCCTTGCACCCGACGCCGACGCCGGGAGCCCCCACCAGCTGAGGCTTTGCCTGAAAGGGTTGGAGGGAAGCAACTGAGATGCTGGCCCTCTGGGGAGCCCCCCACCACAGCCAGGCTTTCCACAGCCTCTTGCTCACTGAACTGTGACTCAAGTGCCACATCTAACCTCTGCCTCTGCCATCCTCTCCCCTCACATCTTAGCTGCATCTCCCTAATCCTCCTGCACATGCTGGCTAGCTGGCTAAGTCCAACCAGCCTTCCCAAACCCAGATTCCAGCCCTTCCCTGGGCTCCACTGTCAGCTTTTCTAGCACCCTTCTGTTCCCTCACCTACCCTAACCCTCCCTGCCTGTCCCCACCAACTTCTAACTCCTCTAAAACCACGGAATGTCAAAGGTGTTAGAGAGGTTGGAGACTCCCATCAACTGTCCTCTCTCACTATTGGACAATATGGGCAATAAACAGGCCCTACCCAGAGAAGGAGCAGTGACCTGTCCCAGAAAATCAGCTAGTGGACAGAGCAGCTGCCCTGACTTGGTCCCAACATACCTAGGTCCCTGCCTCTCCACGTCCCGCATTACCTGAGCCCTTGGGTGGGCAAGCCTGGAGGCTAGCTCCCTCTTCCTCCTCTTCATCTTCCTCCTCCTCCTCTTCCTCAGCCCCCTGGGCCCCTAGGCCCTCAGCCTCACCACAGGCCCCCAGCCCCAGGTGGGCATCCCAGCTGTTGCTGATGACTTCCTTCTCACGGGGACTCCAATGCAGAGAGTAGGGGTGTTTCTGGCGGATGTGCCGCTTGATGGTGCTGAGCTTGAGGGTGGCCAGGGAGCTGCCGCACACCATGCACACCATGCCATGCCGAGCAGGGTTGAAGTCCATCAGGTACTCCAGCCGCCAGTGGTCGTGGTAGTAGCGCCGGTGGTCACGGCCAGGGATGCGGCTCTTTCCAGGCCTCGAGGCCCTGGCCTCACAATGGTCTGAGTATTTCCTGCCCGAAGATGCTGGTCCCCTGGCCCTGGAGGAGGGCAGGGGGGTACTCCCCCAGGACCCCAAGGTACCCCCTTCCAGCTGAAGATCTTGTCCTGAAGAAGAGAAAAGGAAGATAGATTTCAATCTCCAGTTTCCAGGAAAAGAACCAGAGCTTTAATTTCAGAGCCTGAGAAGGGGGTGGGGTGTTTCACGGAAGGGAAGGGACAGCAATAGCAATGAAAGGAACGTGGGAGAACCAGGGTGTCAAAACACCCTAACACAGGGCAAGGACCCTGTGAGAGAGGCATGAGAACAAAAGGATGCTGGGCACCCTATGAGCCAGCTGTGACTTTTTAAAGATAAATGAGGGCCAAGGACACACCAGCTCTGTACAGCACTCTTTTGGAGGAAAGTGTAGGGATAAAGCCAGGAGAGCAGCAGCTGGGGCGGTTACAGCCAGCATGGAGAAGGCAGTGGGGTGAGAGGAACAAAGGGGGCATCTGTCTACATCCAGGCCTGCACAAGGACCCACCCACCTGGGGCCCCAGCCAGGAGGGCCCCACCCAAAGGTCTCCTTTTTTCCAATAATGCCTCAAAAACTGCCTCCTGAGAGTCCCATGTAGGTATAGGCTATGCCTTTGTCAGTTCCCTAAATACAGATTCCCCTACAGGAGAGATCCCCAACATAAAGCTGTCAACACCTCCACAAAAAGGAGTTTCTTGGACCTGGACTTCCCCCGCAGTCTTAGAGAGCCAATGACCCTGAAAGGGGATGGCAGCAAGGCCACCAGAGAGGCTACCAAAGATACTGCATCAGGGAGCAGCCACCACCCACTAGAACCCATTAAGTCTTTCTAGAGATTTATTTTTTGCTCTGGCAGGGAGCTGGCCACTGCCCAGCAATAAGAAGGGAGGACACTGGAGGGGATGGGGGGTTAACCCAGTGGTGTTCCCTTTGTGAAACAGGCGCCCAGAGCAGTCCCCACCCTCCCTACAGTTATGACCGTTTTATTTAGAAAATGGTCTCCTGGCCACATACAGTAAATGAACAGGTTCTGGTCATTCTCCCATTGGAGAATCCCAGGATCCAGCAAACAAAAGACAGGCTCAGAGAGGACTCCTGTCACACTGTAGAGGGTTTTGTTTGTTTTAGTTTGCATTTTTAAAAAGTAGATTCATAGAAAAAAACCACTAGGTTCAAGTCCTAGCTTCACTGATAACTTGCCCTGTGACCTCTAGTAGGTCATGTCCGCTCTCTGGGCCTTTGCCGTCTTTGTCTGCAAGGATACTGGATGGCTAGCTGGTCTTTTAGCATCCTTCCAGCGCTGGAGCCATGATAGTCTAAGGCAGACTGGCCCTTTAAGAGTCAAAAAAAAAAAAAAAAAGAGGAGGAGCTGAGATTCTTTAAAAACAAAAGGGGATGGGGAGTTTTGGGGAGGAGAGCTCAGAGATTAGGGCAGCGTCTCCCAGGTCGCGACTGCACCCTCACAGGTCTTTAGGCGCAGCTAGGAATTGACAAGTTTTCTCTGAGAGCCAAGAGGACGGGCTGGTCCCACTACAGCTGACAAATTGGGGTTGAGGGAAATTCTGAAAAAGGAAGAGACAAGGCGGGGACAGAAGAGGGTGTCTGCCTTTGTGGGCGAACCCATCCCTTATTTAAAAGCTGCCCGCRGTGGGGGAAGGTGGTGGTGGGCCCCGGGCGCAAGCCATTCTCTTGGCCAGGGAGAACGTAGGAAAGAGAGTTCCTGCCTCGAACCAGGCCACATGAAGAGAGGCAGGCGGGCTGGAAACTGGAGTTCGGTGCTCTGCTACTCTAGGGAAGGAGGGGAAAAAATCCAGAAGGGACACGGGGTGTGGGCGGTCTTTTAAGAGACAGCTGGATAAGAAAGACCACCTGGGAGTCTGAAAGAGAAAGGGGCGGGGACCGCGAGTCCAACCCCATTCAGCCCCGCGCCGCTGGCCCCGCGGGGCCCCTCCGCCTGGCCCCCAAGGCGGGTCGCCGCGGGGCCCTTTAAGGAGGAAGGGATCCGCCCGAGACCCGCGGGCCGACCCCGGGCGCTGGGCGGAGGGCTCTCCCGCTGGCCCTGCAACTTCGATCCGCGCCCGCCAGGTGGCGCCCCCGGCCGGCCTGCCCGCGTCCCCCCCTTTGTTCGCCGGCGGAGAGGGGCCCGGAGCCCGGAGCCGAAGCCCTCCCTTCCCCCACGCCGGGGCCCCCGCCTGGGCCGCCGGCCCCAGCTCTTACCGCCGTCGTCCTCCTCAGGCTCCGCGCCGCCGCTCGATCCGGTGGGCGGCAGCCGTCGGCCCCGTGCCGAGGCCACTGCTGGCCCGGGGCCGCCCCTGCCGCCGCCGCTCCGGCTCCGGTGGTCCCCGCCGGGCTCCATGCGCTGCGCTGCAGAGCGGGGCCCCGGGGCGGCGGGGCGCGGGGCCGCGGGGCCGAAGGCGGCCCGCGCGGGGCGCTCGGTGCGCGAGGCCCCGGGGCGCGGGGCGCATGCACTGGGCGGCCGGCCGCACGGACGGCTGGCTGCTCGCTCGGCGGCGCGGGCTGGACCGGGGTGGGGATTCCTGTCTGGGGCCCCTGGGGCTCCTTTAAGGGCTCCTGGGTAAATTTAAAGGGGCCGCGCGCTATTTCCTCCTGCCAGCTCGCGGGGGGCTGGGGGGGAAAGGCAGGAGGGGGCGAGTCCGCAGCCGGCGGCCCCTCCGGACGCTAAAAACACGGACCTCGCGGGCCCGCGCCGCCACCTCCGGGGCTCCGGTCACGACTCCCGAAGGGTCACCGAGGTGGTGAGGGGCGCCCGCGTCCGCTGCGACGCGCTTCCACTCAGGCTCGGCTCGCAGCCACCGCCCCCTCGGGGCATGTCAGCGCGGGGCTCTCCGCGGCGGCGCAGGCAGGGGACCGCCCGGTGGAGCGGCCGAGGTCCCCGCCAGGGACTGCCTCCTCCCACGCGACCTCGGCGCGGGCCCCGGAGCGGACGCGACTGGCAGGGGCCCCAGATGGCTGAGGCCCCGCCGAGAGGGTGGAGCCGCGGGGGCGGCCGCGCCCCCTCCCGCGGGAGCCGCCGGGGAGCGCTGGGAGCTCCGGCTTCTCCAGGGGAGGGGCGGGCGGGCGAGGCTCCTCGGGAGCTGGTCAGGGGTGAGGGCGGTGGCCGCGGAGGCGCAGGCKGGGGAGCGGGGTGTACCGTAGACCCGCCGAGAGCCCGCGGCGCCGGGGCCGGCCCTGAGGAGCCGAGGTGGCCCCGGGATGGAGGCCGGGAAGAGGGCTGGCGCGGCGGTGACTCAGGCTCCTAGCCCCACAGGCCCGGGGGTGCCGTAGGAGACCCTTGGCGCAGCCCCAGACCTCCTGCCCGGCCTTAGGGGGCAAAGAATGCTAACCGCGGTCAGGGTGTCGGGCACCTGGGCACGCGCGTCCACACGATTTCGAAGCGCTGGGACAGACCCTGGCCGCGTGTCCCGGGGGCGCCTCCAGGTCCCCAGCTCCCGGGAAACCGAGAGAAGGGACCCCGCGAGGCAGCCACGCGGGGTCGCGGCAGCCTGGGGCCCTCCTGCGAGGACCTGCTGGAGAAGCAGGTGCTTGCTTTGCCTGTGGTTGGTCTCCCACAACAAAGGCGATTCCTGGAGATCCAAATTACAGGTTGCGGGAGGCCATGCAGGGTCTTATTATCTAGAGATGAATTTTCTGCGGGAAGTCCTTCTGCGGGCAGGGACCCGGCAATCCGTTATAGAAGTCATTGACAGATTCCTTCTCTCATTTAGCACCTACTATGTGCCCGCATGCTTTTAGACTCTGGACACAGCACTGACCAAGACGGCGAAAACTACTACTGTCTGTGACTTAGCACCCCTGGCTTATAAAATGGAAACAATTCCAGCCCCTTGGGAGCCTTGGAAAATATTAAATTACCCGGAACACAGGAAACACCCATCCCCGCTCGCCGCCGCAAGTGTATACGACGAAGGGACCGGAACTAAGATTTCTTAATTGTCTCCCAGGACTCTGTCCCAGTCCCAGATACCCCATCTCTCCTTCAGGCCCAATGATGACCTGAGAGACTYAACGTTGGGGAAACTGAGTCTGTCTCACATCTCTGCTGTCACTCRGGGTGGAGCTGCCCTTTTTTCCACCCGCTTGGGGCAGGGCCCCTGGTGCCAGGTGGGGTCAGGAGGTGGAGGTTTGCCTGGCCCCGGGATTCAAAGAGAAAATAAAAAGGGACCTGCCCTTCGTGAGCTTCTGAGTACAGCTTTGAAAAGAAAAAATATGCGGCGGGCGGGATGGGTAGGGGCGTGGGGTGTGGCCAGCCCCTGGGGATGTAACTCTGTGGGAGAGCACTTGCCTGGCACCCTCCAAACCTTAAGTTAGATTCCCAGGTTCACAAAAAAGAGCAGGGAGGRGCGGGGGTGACGCTAATGCGGCCTAATGACCTAAAGTGAAAGAAGTCTGTTCCTCTAGGGCTAAGGGGCTTCTTGATTTATTTCACTTTAGTTTCTAATTACAAAGGCTACACGTTCAGGTCCAGCCACGGTGAGACTGAGATGCATTTCTATCTGTCCTTCCTGTACTCTCTATGTATAAAAAGGGTGATTTTGTTTGTTACACAAAGCAAGGTCTCAAAGCCACCTGGAGCCATTTTTAACAACCTCTGGCCCTTCCCCATCACCCACATCCTGCAAGCCTCAGGAAAGGCTCCAAGCTCCAGTTCCACCGGCAAACTCATGAAGCTGGAGCTTGGCTGCTCAGATGAAGACATGAGACTCAGAGACCAGAAGCTCACTCAAGAATGGTCTGCTGATTTCATTGATTTGGAAAGCATTGCCTGAGCCAATCCAAAGTGCCTAGCCCTGGGCTAGGTGGAAAGGTTTAAAAATACTTGGGTAGCATGTACAAGGTGCCAGATTCAACTCCCAGCACCGCCAAAAAATAAAAATAACAATGCAGGGGAATCCATCCCCCTTTCCTAAGAGTTCTCAATTCACTGTGGGAAGGGGAACCGAAGACAACTGTAATCAGGACCACATTATGATTTTCTTTCTTTATAATTTTTCTTTTCCTTCTTTTCTTTCCTACACTAGAAATTGAACCAGGGGTGCTCTACCACTAAGCAAGACAGAGTCTGGCTAATTTGCTGAGGCTGGTCCTGAATTTATGATCCTCCTGCCTCAGCCCCCCCTCCCCCAGTGGCTGGGATTACAGGTGTGTACCCAGCCACATTATTTTTATGGGCCATAGATACTTTTACCTTTGTGGACATCTTCTATTAAAGAGACTTTTTAAATGTTTCAATAAATTTTTTTCATGTGAGGGCTGGGGATGTGGCTCAAGTGGTAGCGCGCTCGCCTGGCATGCGTGCGGCCCGGGTTCGATCCTCAGCACCACATACCAACAAAGATGTTGCGTCYGCCGAAAACTGAAAAAATAAATATTAAAATTCTCTAAAAAAAATTTTTTTTTCATGTGAAAAGAAATGTTAACATCCTTCGACCCTTGCAAAGTTGTTGTTGTTTTTTTTTTTTTTTCCTTCTGATTTGAAATCTTTTCAGAAGCCCCGAAAAGTAGGGTGGGCTCAGGCACAGTACCTCTGGTGCCAGTTGGGCAGTCAGCGTTGACTGTAGCACAGGGTGAGGTGTCAAGGGAGAGGGAAGGCAAGGAAGAGTTACCCAACCAGGGAAGACTTGCCAGAAGGAGAAAGGGAGCCAGGGCCTTGCTGGCAGAGGCCCGGGAGCTCCAGTGGAGCAGGGCTTCCAGTGGGAGAGGCAGAGGAAGAAAGGGAATTTAGGAACTAAGCCTTAGGTGGCAACTTGAGAGTTTGAGTCTGTTCAGAAGTCACTGGGGTGTGCCTGAAGGCATGGCTGATCTTCCAGGAGGCAGCCCTGAGGACACTGTGGCTRCCTTTAGGGCAGGCCATGCCATCCCCCAAGGACCTGCACCAAGCGCAGCAGGGCCAATGGAGAGGAGTAAAAAGCATAAGCAGACCACCACTCATCATGGTGCAGTCACCGCACACAGGGGGAAGGTACCAGAGGAGGATGAGATGCCAGTGGTATCCCAGCTGAGCCAAGCAGCCTAGCAGGAGGAAAAGACACCTCTTCTCCTTAAGGAGCAATTTGTTAGCCAAGATATGTACCTGTAAGCTGGTTACACCCAGAGGGGGTCCTTCTGCCTAGATTCTAACAAAGCCCCTCTTGCCAGCTAACAGTGGTCCTATTTTGAGCCTTTAAGAAGGTAAATCACTGGCACGGTGGCACATGCCTGTAATGCTACTTAGGARTCTGAGGCAGGAGGATCACAAGTTCAAGGCCAGTCTCAGCAATTTAGCAAGCCCCTGTCTCAAAATAAAGAGAGCTGGGGATGTGGTGATTACTTAGAGGTAAAACACTGACTTACCATGTGTAAGGCCCTAGGTTCAATCCACAGCACAGGAAATAAAGGCAGCATCTACAGGACATAGTGCCTGACAGAATAGAATGAGTGAAAGGTCAGGCTAGTTCCCAAGTATCTGGGCTGAGAAGAAAAGGTCCAGATCAGATTTGAGGTGGAATGAGGTCACAACCTGGAAACTTTGGCTCCTGTATTAAACCCAGACCCAGTGTTTATACCTCGCTTCTTCCCTTCCATTCTGTGACTCAGATACTTAGCCCACTGGCTGGTATCTCTAACCAGCAAGACTCTTGGCTCCCTGTGTCCACTGGTCTCAGCCTGCAAGGGCCAGAGGCCCCTATGGTGGGGGGAGACAGCTTCCTCCTACTTCTCAGTGATTCTTTGGGTAATCCCAGAGAAAGAAAAAAAGGGCCTTACTGATGGCTGACATGGAGGARCTGTGGATACTGGGCCCAAAGGAAGCTTCTAAGGAGGTAAATACATTAACATCACATGACCCAAATTTCCACAAATTCTGGATTCAACTTTTCAATATGTCTCAGAACTATAAAATACTAGTAGGCTTTTGACATCTCCAGTGGGCATGACTGAATTCTTTCAAACAAAGATCAATGGCTCATATAGCCTATAAATGTCAAAGGGACCCCCTCTGCCCCGTGCTGGGAATGAAACCCAGGACCTCATGCACGGTAAGCAGGTAGACACCGAGCTCCGTCCCCAGAACTTTTTATTTTTTGAGGCAGGGTCTGGCTAAATTACTGAGATAGGCTTCAGACCCGTGATCCTCCTTCATCAACCTCCTGAGTAGCTGAGATTATAAGTGTGAGCCACCGTGCCTTGGCTCAAAGGAAGTCTCTACACAGATTGTAAATTAAATCATCCCTTGTCAAATTCCAAAGAAAGTCTAAACCTAAAGATGATTTCCAGGTGTAAGCCAAACTTCCAAGTTTCTATATGTGTGTTGCAGGGAGAGGGAGTAGAAGGTTAGCCTCAGACACTTAAAATTTGAGA